CTACAACGACTGTTAAGGCACCTGAAATCGTCCGGGCCGTAAGCGGACGTCGGGTTCCAGCGTGGAGTAGGACGTGTGACGTACGGGCCTTTAAGCAGTTGTACGTTCGGGTCTTTACATAAATCGTCGGCCTGAATGTCGGGACCTTTATGGTTATGGAATCTGTTCGTGCATATCGATTACATTGGGCTCTAAACGCGGCCTCTTGAATTGTGGTTGTGCGGCGAAAATTATGACCTTACCGATGCGATGCCTCAGGTTCCCTCAAGTTGCCACGGTATGATGCATCTGCTTAGAGGATATAGGGAAGGCAGGTGTGCCAGAATTCAGTTGTAAGAAGAATCCCGTGTACGGCTCCGGGCCGTTGGTTGGCCTCTGGAACATAGAGACTCTTCGCAAGGATGCTTTACGAGGTATGCGCGATACATCCTCGCGAGAGTAGGTTCCGGCGGGTGTCGAGGAGAGATCTTCTTCACTCCTCGTGTCCCCCTTCTTCTCCTCTCTCTTTCTTGCTGCGCACTTCCTCTCTTGTGAGGAAGTGAACGGCTCTAATTCTGATAGATTAGTTTTATGGAGTGGATTGCCCGTAAATATGGCGTTAGGTTCAGGAGGAATAGGGGAGTGGTTGAACTTATAGGAGACGAATACGGATCGACATTATTGAATCCACTAGTCGTACAGACCGTTCATTGGCAATTTGAAGTATGCCTTAGTGGAGTCTGAGGAATTCAGTGATCTTAGGCTCGTATGGGATTTCGACTCGTCGAGCCCTTCGATTCAAGTATAAGCTCGTCAAAATCGAAGACCGTTTGGTAACTCAAATTGCAGTTTGAACCTTCCAACAGTGCTTTGAGCCCTTGATTCGGACTCATTTGGGCTCGGATTGGGTTGATCTTAGTTTCGTTGGGTTCGTATTTCCGAGACGCTCAGTTCGACTATAAGCTCGCTGAAATCGGAGTTCGGTTGCTCCCATAATTAATTTTTGAAGTTTCCAACTAGCTTTTTGCCTCGAGATTCGTGCCCGATCAAGCTAATTTTGCATGACGTATCAAAATCTTAATTTTTTGATTGCTTCTTTGGATGGATATATACTTCTATAAAATATCAAAATAATTTGTATTTTATTAAGCCTAAAAATTTATGTTATGCTAATCCAAATTATGTTAGGATCAAATTTTGATACATCAAATTTATTTAAAATAAGTGTCATGTAGATTTAATTTCTAAATTATTGTATAATATTCATCTAAAAATAAATTTAATTGATAGAAAATAGTCTTTATGAAGTTTAAATAAGTATATTATTGCCTTTAAAAAAAATAGCTCAAATGTCCATGTAAGTTTGGAGCTATTTATTAAGAGTTTTTTAGATTATTTTTTTATTTGTATTTTAATATCAGATAAAAATATATTTGATATCTTAATTAAGTATTATTTTTATTTTTATTAAATATGATACAAGACTCTGATGAAAAACAATGATGACGGCTAGTGGCTTCTCTAAGATTTTGTTTGGGATAAATATTTTTTTTTTAAATAGTTTTTTTAGTAAAAAAAATTAGTTCTTCTTAATTTTATGCTAATTACCATTGCAAGTCCTAGTTTTTAAATGATCTCTATATTGAGAGGTTATTAGGTGCAGAGTGCGGACGGGAAGAACCGTCCGCACACAAGTATAGGGTACCCAGCTAGGTACCACTTGGTACCGCTGAGTACCGCTGGGTATCACTTGGTACCCTGTATTTGTGAGGACGGTCCACACTTCGCACCTAATAATTTTTCCTCTATATTAGCATATTTCTTCATAATTTTTTTATCTTTTACTCCCAATGGCATTCATCATATCAAACATGACAAAATGTCTTTCTATTGGACTGAAAAGCTGAGTTAAAACAGTATATTGTGGCACATTTCTTCATAAATGCTTTGATCTTTTACTTCCATCTTCCTCATTCATCATATCGACATGACCTCCGCTCATAAGACGTTTGACAAAATGTCTCTCTATTGGACTGAAAAGCTGAATTAAAACAGTGCAATGCAGCATGAAGACTTTGATACATTGTGATGCGTTATTGTAGCAAAAATAAGACCGCAAAGATCACCAACAGCAGCTGAAACTAAGAGTGCGTTTCAGAAAGTTTTTTTTATTATTTTTTAAAACAATTTTTTAGGGTAAAAATTAAAAAATTTTATAATAAAAAACTACTTTAAGAAGCTGTAAGAAAGAATTAATTATTCTCTGGGGATGCCGAATGTCGCCCGGAGACCAACTAGAATGCGCCACATCACACCTGTGCTCAATACCGCAGTTCAATATTGCTTGGTACCGCTCAATACCGCGGCTCGGTACAACTGACGTAACGTATTCTAATTGGTCTCCGGACGATGTTTTGCATCCGGCCTTCACATAAAAAAATTGTCTCAAACGAAGCCTAAAGCCGTCTCTAGGAAAACTAAGGTCATCATTTTATGAACAACATCATCAATGATTAAAATATTCAAACTTGATTCATTTATAGCACTAGTACAATTATTTGATTAATGTGAGAATTATGGCTCCACACATACATTTGCCACGAATTTGTGATTCTAATGAAAAGCCTATGTATATGAAAGTTTGTTTAGAGTAAGGAAGTAGATTGGGGAGTTGTTTATTATACACATTTGACAAGCTACTCGTAGTTCGGCACAATTATATATAGCTCATTTATGATCATTTGATTAAATAGTCAAACAAAGTTTGGATTTTTTTTATGTTCGATTATTAAATAAATAGGTTTGAACTATTTATTCTATGCATTTATGTCAACAAAATTATTTATAGCTCATCAACAAGCCCGATAATATGAAGCTCATTGAGAAGCTCAATTCATATTTGATGCAATCATGCAAAGCTTGTGAACTAGTTTGTTAAAAATTTTGATTAATGCTCGATATAGAGCTTGATTAAGTATCCTTATAAAAATAATGAACTAATTAATACAAATTTTTCTTATTAATTATAATTTCATAACATAATAATTATTACTCAATAAATTTTAAACTAATTAAATATAAGTATATCCGTTAATTAGATATATCTATTCATGTTTGCTATATTGATTTATTTTTTCAGTGTTTCAATGAGAAGCTCATTTATTAAAAGCAGCATTTTCTGAGAACAGGCTACTCAGTTTTAAGCTAGAAAATGGTTTAATTGGCTGGCTTGTTTAAAGGCTAGAGAAAGCGCACTAAATATGATCATTAACGAGATCAATAAGGCTTCATATGATTCCGTTAATGGGCTTAGTAAGGCTCATTTGTTCATCTCAAAAGTAAATTTCATTAAGATAAATTTATTATTTTATATGAGCTACTCGTTTAAAGTTCAATAACCACGATACAAATCGACAAATCGAATGTGTCGAACAAAAATCAAACTTAAACATCTAGCGTTTTAAACAAACCAAATTTGAACAAAAAAGAAAAGCTCCAATCGAGCTCGGCCAACTGATAATAAATGAGCTCAAAAAATTTATTTTGGCCCACTATTTATAATCTTGGGATGTCAACAAAGCAGGTAAGTTCTATATATGCTAATGTAAGCTTTTTAGTGCAATAAAAATCGTCAAAGAAAGCTGCTTTGATTCCATCATTTTAGTAACCTTTCTAGCTCAAAATCAGTTTGACTTCATTTGGGACAGCTTTTTTTCTGATTTTTAAAACTACTTTCTAGTATAAAAATTAAAAAAATTTGTACTAAAAAGCTGCTTTAAAAAGCAGTAAGAAAGCCATCTCAAACTAAGCCTAAATCTTCTGTTCAAGTATTTATGTCTGCCTTATTAAAAGTGCCATTGTGATTATATTCTTGAGTGTAAGGGAGTACATTATCTGATGTGAAGGCTACTTTGTCGACAAGGAAAAGTTTTCAATATCACCCTACCTGCTGCTGCTCCAAGATAAAAGTTCTTATTTTGGATTTAAATAAGCTAATTTCAAGCTCTACTGTACCTTCTGATTAAGAAAAAGATAAGCATGTTAGCTAACAACACAAAGATTCAGATAACAGTAACAAAATGAGGATAAGAAGCATATAAGTACACAACATTATTCATAATATAGTATGGCAGTTTGCACATATTTTGTAGAGATACTTTCTACATATAATATGTTCAATACACCATAAAATGCCACACCAGCATAGCTAGTTACAAAGAAAATGATGACAAGCCCTTTATTAACTATACAATATGCACCTAAATATTAAGATAGAGTCGCTAATGATGACTCTAAATGATACATGAAGAGCTCCTCTTATGTGTACTCTATTTTATTATCTTCATATGTGTAAATATATATATGTAATCTGGTCTTATGCAGCGAAAAGAAATACTATAAGAAATTTGATATCAACGATCATTTTTACATTGAGATTTGTATTCATAAGTCCTGATATAATGAAAAATACAAATCTCGATGTAAGATAAACGATGAAGATAGCTCTCTCGTATAAGTTTTTGAAGGAGTTCTTTATAGGATTTACCTGGCCCTGAAGCTTATATGAGAAAAACTCATGGATGCTTTCATAATGGGAAGCTTGCAGTCAACAGAATATGATCCAGAGTAGCTCTGAGACCATACTTGAGGACTGCCTCATTACCAGCACGAAAACCGTCTCCATAAGCAGGGGAAGAATCCGACTCGATCTGGTGTTTGAAGAATTCTCCGAGCTTCCTCTCAAATTGTGATCTTGTACCTTTCTTTGATGAGGGTGTTGAAGAGGAAGAAGAGGAAGATGGAACGTTGCCACTACCTGCGATGATCTCGGAGTCAAGCCACATATGAGCCAGAACTTGACAAATGCCTTCTTCCACATCTGGGCTGAGACCTCGATAACCTATCACCAGAAAATCTAGCAATTTAGGTTGGATCCCTCATCATGTCTTTGAAACAACGCAAGGAAACATGTCAAGCTAGCATGTTACAGATAGGGGGAAGCCTGGTCCCTCAAAAGCTAAGGGCCTCCATGGGATCATTTTTTTCTATTTATATTTTATTTTATTTAAAAAAAGGCTTATTTTTAATACTGAACCAAACTATTTTTAAGAATTCTCACAATAATTTTAAGGTATTGAGTGCTTTTAAAATCAACCATCATGATCGGCCGCTACCAATGCAAGCTGCCGTTGTAGTCATCGTCTATTTGACCACAGTCCACAGTTGATGCCCCACCAGTAGACATTGCTTAAAATCAACTTATTCAAGACTGAATAAAAATAAAAACATGTTTTTAAAATATCAAATATATCTTATTTCAAGTCGAAACATAAGCAAAAAACAAAATAAAAACAAATAAAAAGACAGAAGAAAAAGTGATCCCAAATAACCTCTTCTAATATATTTAAAACAAATTATAATTTTCCAAAAAAATAAAAATTATGTGTTTTTAACCATTAGAAAAATATTCAATGATTCCGAATAGGGAAAATTAATCAAGCTTTGTTTGAAACAGCTTTTTAAAGTAATTTTATAGTACAAAAAATTATTAAATTAAAAATTTTTGTATTAAAAATTTATTTTAGAAAATAATAAATTTTTCCCAAACGAAACCTTACATCATTAAAATTAAAACTAAACGAACCATCAAGCTGCTCTTCATGAGTTTAAAAGTTTTAGAGAATGATCATGGGCTGTAAACATCGATTTCCCAAAAAGACTGTAAACATCTTTGGTACTATGAGGCCTCTATATTGTTTGTATTTGTGTAAAATGAATACTAATCAAAACAAGAGTGATTTTTTCTGTAAATTATTTCCCATCACTAAAGAACAAGACAAATTTGATGAATAGAATAAAAGAAAGTACCTTTGAGTCGCATCCAAGCATGCATCATTTCATGTGCGAGAATCGAACCTGTCAGTAATCTGTAAAAGACGATTGTCGGTACGACACAATCAAGGCTCTATTTGATTTAAGGGAATTAAAGACAAGAAGAAAATGAAATAAGAATTTATAAAATAATAGAATTGAAATTAGTTTTCAGTCACTTAATTGGTTGAAAAGAAAATGGAAAAAAAAAATTTGGTTTATCTTTTTTACTTAGTTGACGACAAAATATTTTTTTTTTGTTTTTGTGTAGGAACTGTGAACCATAGTGATGATACAATAATTTTTTCTTCTCATTTTTCATTAAAATTGGTAATGAATTCTCAATTAAAAAGATGAATCTGTTAACATTTTTTGGGTAAATCCAAACATTATTAATTATAACGAAACCTAACCGAAAAAAATGTATTAGGGAGCTTAAAGTGAAATTGTTATTTACATATCCAGAATTGAAAATAAAGCAGATGAAACTTCAAAATTCAAATGGCAGAAAAGGATAAAGAACAAGATTATTATAAGCATGAAACTTCATAAATGAAGTACCTTGGTAGCCCATAAAGAATGAGAATTGCTGTTACTTCACTCTGTCGAGTAACCTTGTACGGCTCTGTAATCATTTCAATGATTCTATATCCTGGACCAAACCTTGGCCTCCGCAATATCTGGCAGAGGTTCACCATGTCAATGAGTGAAGATTTATAGAAGGGAAGATAAATTACTGAAAATATGCATCCTTGTTAAACAGTGAAATCAATTAGGGCTTCATTTGGGATGATTTTCTTCTTGCTTTCTAAAATAACTTTCTAGGACAATTTTTTTTAATTTGAAATTATTATACTAAAAAATAATTTTAAAAAGCAGCATAAAAGCTCTCCCAAATGAAGCCTAAGTGTACTATGACTTTGATTTTCTAATGATATGAGTCATGTTACTTGATTTAACGGGTGGTTGTTATGCTAGCATTTGGTGTATTATTAGACGATTTAAGTTGTTCAATTTTATTGACATCTTTATAACTATCTAAATAACTTTTCAATCCTACTTTACTAGCATCTAAATTCATATAGGAAACAAAATTTAAATGTCCGGGCTATCTAACATCTTTGAATACAATTACAATCTTGATAGCCTCGGTATCTTTTAATACAATAATATTAAATGATGCATACAATAATTAAAAATAAACCGACATCTACGTAAAGCTAATATATATAAATTGAAATTTGCAGTCCCTTTTTGACATCTTATGATTGTTATTAAACAGATAACAGTTTTAACCAAAACTAATTTCTATCAAAATATGGGCCAATCTGCACATACTAAAATACTAAACAAATAAATAGTAATTGATAGATTGCAGAAACTTGTAAATAACATTGTCTTTGAATTAAAAAGAGCCAAACAGCATCAAATAAAAAAGAACTTACTGTGCTGACTATCTGCTCTTCTGACATGCAGAGTCCTCTGGTTTCTGGAAGGTGATGGTGCCCCTAGAAGCAAGAGTAAGTGCTGATAATTACTCTCAATTTTCTAAGCCAATTATGAAAGGAGGGACAAATGCTGTGTTTCTTACTTTCTTTTCTCCTTCCATGGCTTCATTTAGTGCTTGTCTCTCGACTAAAAGTAATGGAACCTGCTGAACAATTTTCATGTTTAGACCTTCGTAAAATTCTTGAATATCGAGATATAGAGGTTGGCACTCATGGGTATCCATTGTTGCAGAATCCAAACATTCCAGGCACAGCTTCCGCCCATCATCTAAAGTTAAATATTTTGTTTCTCTAGCCTGAAGCAAATTTAAAAAGATCGGAAAGAGCATTATTAACGGTAAGGCCACCAAAAAGTAAATGCATGGTAGGAGAGATTAGTTGCAATATAACATGACAGCGGCTCAGAAGCACTAGCACAATCACATGGTCAACAATTCAAATGAGATTCCTCACCGAAAACTTAGAAACAAAAAAATTACAAACGATGAAGATGGAAGACAACTTCTAAAACTTGGGCATATATATATATATATATATATATGAAGACACTGACCTCCATCCTTTCGCAACTGCAGCATCTTGGAGTACCATCATCTTCGTGATAAGGACAATACTTTTGCATCCAAAAAGGGTGTGCACGGTATTCTATGAGTCCATCCTTGTTAGTTGGAATCTGTAAGACGGATTAAATCTGAAGAAATGAAAAACTTGAAAGAGATTTATAATCAATCAATTGAGTATAAGGAAATTTTTTTTTTCTTGCAGGTGTTTAAAAAACCTATTTTAAGAAAAAATATTAAGTGATGCAACTCAACCATTGGAACATTTACACCCCAACATATGACGGTTCTAAATATACAGAAAGCTTTTTTTTCATTTTTCATCCAAAATCCTCCAAATAGCTCTCCTCCCTCTTCAGCCAAAAAACTGACAACAATCTCCTTCAGTGATTTCCACCAAGCTCCTCACCTGAGTGAGCATCCATCACCCTTTCCACTGCAAAAAGCAACTAGCCAAGCTTTCATTCTGTTCCACCATCGCTGCTAATATCGTTTAAAGACGATCATAGCACATTACTTGAGGCACGTCTCAAATTGGGGCCAAAAAAATGCCTCGAGGCTAGAGCTTCAATGCCACCGGTGAGGCTAGCACCTTTTTAACCGAAGTGCTAGAAGCATGCCTCTCAATAAGTTAAAGTAAAAATAATCATATTAATATATTATATATCTAATATATATTAAACTACATCTAATGTATATTAAATTATATCTAATATATTATATTATACTCAAACGGTTGAATTCCACGAATTGAACATCAACGAGCATTTCAGCAAACAATGTAAACAAAGAAGCAGTAAACAACACAGAGAAGAGAATGTAAGGCATTTCCCTGCTAGTTTACTGTAACATAAACTAGTGTATATATATATATACATGTGTAAATAGATAATGAAAAGACTAAACTACCCTAGGTAGTTACATAAAGTGAAAAGAGTGGTTAACGAGCAGAGAAGGCGGCAGCAAGCCCTGTTGATTGGCGGAGAAGTGGTCGCAGTCTGTCAACTTGAAAGCAGAGGTAGTGAAGTTGAAATAGCCAAAATATTCTTATCACCGTCCCTCAAGTTGATGGGCAGAACGACCATTAACTTGTTGCGAAGAGTATGAAGTCTTGTTCATGGGATTGACTTTGTAAAGATATATGCAACTTGATCTAATATGGATATGTGATGAACAGCAAGATGCTTAGCTTAAATGCAGTCACGAATGAAGTGATGATTGATCTTGATGTCCTTGGTGTGAGCATAAAAGATCGGACTACAGGCTATGGACATAGACAAAATATAGGAGTTGTATCCAATTGAATGCGGAAGTCCTGATAAAGGTGGCGAATCCAAGATAGATCAGCCGCAGCAACGGCAAGAGAGTGGTACTCAGTTTTCGTGGAGGATATTGCAATCGTGGATTGTTTTTTTACAAACCAAGTGATGAGAGCTTGACCGAGATAAATGCAGCAACCTGTAGTGGATTTGCGATCTATAGAGTCACTAGCCCGATCTAAATCAAAAAAGGCATAAAGATGGAGCTCAGTTTTCGATCGGAAAAGACCATAGTCAAGCGTGCCTAGCAAATAGCGAAGTACCCATTTAAGGAGTTGATAATGTGGATGCAGTGGTTGATGCATGTGTTGGCATAGTTTATGTATAGCAAAGGCGATGTTCGGTCTTGTGGAAGACAAGTATTGTAAAGAACCGGCAAGCTGGCGGAACGGTGCAGGTTGGCTGAAAGGAAGCTATAACGTTGGATTAGAGGGTAATTTAGATGGGAAAGGAGCAGTTAATGGTTTGCAGGTTGTCATAGCAGCATTGGAGAGGATTTCTTGGATGCAGGATTTCTGGGATAGGTGATATCTAGTAAAATGTCGATAAAATGTGAGAGTTGGCCGAGGTTATGGGTTTAAAATGTAATTTAAGTTTGTGAATAAGAGAAGAGATGAAGGTTGAGTTGTTGCCAGCGATGAGTATATCATCAACAAAGATTAAGATATATACACAAATGTTTTCTTTGTGAAGTAGGAAAAAGGAAGGGTTAGTGGAACTGGTTGTAAAAGCTGGAGTAGTGAGGTAGGAGGAAAGCGTGGCAAACCATAAGCGAAGGGCTTGCTTGAGGACATAAATTGCTTTGTGGAGAAGGCATACATGATGTGGGAAATGAGGATCTTGAAACCCTTGAGGTTGGGTCATGTAGATAGTTTAGTCAATTTTGCCATGAAGAAAGGCGTTGACTACATCTAGTTGAAGTATTGGTCAATTATGGTGGAGTGCAACAATGAGGAAGAGATGAATTGTAGGGAATTTAACTACGGGCTAAAGGTTTCGTGATAGGCGACACTGTATTCCTGTTTGACACCTTGTACAACAAGGCAAGCTTTATGGCGAGCAATGGAGCCATCGGCGAGGCGTTTAATTTTGTAAATCAATTTGCAACCGATAATTTGTTGATTAGTGGGAGGTGGCACAAGTAACCAAGTGCCTTGTGCTTGAAGTGCACGAAATTTTGCGGACATGGCAGTGTGCCATTCAGGGAATTTGCTAACAGCGGTATAGCATGTAGGAGTGGGCTGAACGGTGTGATGAAGATCAAGAATGATGTGTGGTTTAAGGGAACCTGTGTGAAGGCGAGTAATCATGGGGTGATGAGGATGTGTAACTAGTGGAGGAGGGAGTTGATAGGAGGAGCTTGAGGACATTGGGGAATTTGTGGAAGACTCAAAGACTGTAGGTGAGGCGAATGAATTGGTGGATGATGTTGTAGAATCTATTTGTGGAGCAGAATTGGTAGGTGTCTTGGTAATTGAGAAATTTATAAGGGGAAAGTAGTGCAGCATATATGGTTTGAGGGGTGGCAATGTCGGTGGGGGTGTGGAAATAGAGGGAAAGTTTGTTTCACCGGAAGTAACATGACAAGAGACATTTATTTTACAAGTGGTGAGATTATAGCACTTATAACCTTTTTTTTGTTGAATAGCATAGCCTAAGAAAATGCAAGGAGGTGCTAATTATTTGTGAGGAGCATAAGGTCTAAGCCAAGGGAAATAGCGAAAACCAAATGTGCAAAGCTGAGTGTACAAAGGTGGAGTAAGGTAGAGGAGCTCATATGGAGATTTAGAGAAGGAGTTTAATGAGGGGAGACAGTTTATGAGGTAGGCCGCAGTAAGCAAAGCTTCAGTCCAGAATTGTGGTGGAAGATGAACATCGGACAACAATGTGCGAGCTATATCCAAAAGGTGTTGATGTTTTCGTTTTGCAATGCCATTCTGTTGTGGAGTTGGAGTATGAGGGAAAGTATATTGATGGGTTATGCCATTATGGGATAGGAAGGACCACAATACATTGTTGAGGAATTCGTCTCCACCGTCAGTTTTGATGGTTCTAATAGGTAAATTTAAGTGTTTTTCGATGAGGTTCTTAAATTGGATAATGGTTTGGGAAACATCGGATTTTTGTTTGAGAGCATAAAGTCAAGAGTAGCGTGTGTAATCATCTATCAAAAGTAAGTAGTAACGAAACCCATCATAGGAGAAAATAGGGGAGGGTCCCCAAACATCGGCATGTATTAATTTTAATGGGGACTAAGATATATGTTGAGAATAAGAGAAAGGAAGCCTGAGAATGAGAGAAAGTAAGCCTGTGGATTTTAGCTAGTTCATAGGAACTACATATAGTATGAGAGTGGGGATACATAAATCAGGAAATGACTTAGATAAAGTAGCAAGAACATTTGAATTCGGATGACCCAAAAGTCGATGCCATGTGTGAGCTGGGGAGGAAGCATCAACGGTAGCTATGACAGTGAGAATGGGAGGTGTAGATGGGTAGACCGGTACCAAATAGAGATCATTAAGGCACGAGCCTTGGAGAAGAGTTCGATTGGTCATACGATCCGTGACATGAAAATCAGAATTGTAAAATACAATAGAGCAGTGGTTATCATTGATGAGTTTAGAGATAGAGAGGAGTCGGTGAGTTAGCTTAGGTATGTCGAGTAAGGGAGTGAGTGAAAGCTTATAGGTGTGTGTGGGTAGAAAACCATTACCATAGTGTTGTATAGAAAGAGGAGCACCATTGCCAACGAGCACTTGATCCTTGCCAGAGTAAGATGTAGGTTGATGAAGAGGAAGAGGGTTTGGTGTGAGGTGGGCAGTAGCACTGCTGTCTAAGTACCACGAGGCAGGATCAGAGTTAGCAAGCAGAACAACATCGGTTGGGGAAGCCGGAGGGACATACTGAAAGTTGCCCCAATGCCAACAAGTGAGTGCAGAGTGTACGTGTTTGCCACAAATTTGACAGTCACCATCGAAACGTGACTTCCAAGCGGAACGGGTGTTGCTGAAGGAGAGTGCACGACCACGGTTGTAGGAGAAACAACCCCTAACACGACCGCAGTTTGAGAAGAGGGCGAACGTCGAGTTGAACGGAGGAGTAGTGGAAAACGATAGCTCCTTGACAGCACTAATGGTTTGATTTACCTCTTTGCTGCAAAGAAGAGAGTACAAATCGTCCAAGCTAATGGGATGCAGAGAGGTCCTAATTGTTGTTTTATAAGATTCATAAGAGAGGCAAAGACCATTTAAGATATAAAGGAGGATGTCTTCGTTGTCGACGGAACCGCCGGCAGCGTTGATATTGTCCGCCAACGACTTAACTGAAGCTAGGTAGTCAACCATAGATTTATTGTGCATGAATAGAGAATGAAGTTCATTCTGCTGTTGAATAACCCGATAATGATTGGTAGAGAAAAATCAGTGTTCGATAGTTTTCCAAATTGATGAAGAGGTATTGAGATTTAGTATGAAGGGAAGAATAAATGAGGAAATGGAGAAAAGAGCTACCGAGAGGTTTTGATCCACTAAAGTTCAAAAAGAAAATTGAGGGTTAAGGGTGAGTTGGTCGGTGGCAGTAAGCAAGTGTTCAAATGAGCATGTTTGGCTACCGTCAAGATAGCCAAAGAAGTTGTTTGCAGCAAAAAGCTTATGAATAGCGGATCGCCATGTGGGATAGTTTTCGAGGAGTTGAATGTTGATAACATTCATGATGTTGGAGAGAAGAAATTTAAGAGCATGAGGGATTAAGACATTGGTGGAAGATGATATGTCGGACGTTAGCACGGGAGG